TTCTTTCTCCCCTTCCCTCTCCATCGTTTTTTCGCATTTTCTTATCTCTCGTCCCTCCTCTTCTCTCCCTCCCCATTCCCCCTTCCCCCTCTTCTTTCTTTCTATCCCGTTTCCTGAACGACATCCTTGCTTTCTATCCATAACGACCATCTCACAAGGTTGGATTATTAGTTACGGTCGACTGATGCATGTATGGGATGTGTTTTTTTCATCATGACCTGTCGAGGTCTATGGTAAGTATGCGGATGTATACTTGATTGGACCAATTCAGGAAGTTCGAGTAGTTGCATGTGTTTGATTGCTCCTCAAAGAAGGAGGCAACCCCACCCCCCTCGTTTCATTTCGCTACCTTCGACTCAACGGGCTTGTGTTGCACTCATCACAAATGGACACACGGTATGGTTTTACCCCGCTGCGTTGATAGATCACCCCCCGCAACTTGTATCTTGCTCACAATGTGCCGACGTGTATGGTTGGAGCAGCGCGAGTATGACGTGTCGTACTCGTGCGTAACTCATGTGATACACACATGCTACACACACACATGCACACACACGGCCGAACGCCGGCAAACCTGGCGTTCGGGACGGGCCGAACGCCCGAACCCTAACGCCCAAACGTACGGGACCCCTTCGGAAGGCGTTCGACCGTTCAGGCCGAACGCAAAAAAAAAAAAAAAAAAAAAAAAAAAAAAAAAAAACGTTTTCAAAAAATTTCGAAAACTAAATATGTTATAGAGAAAAATAAACTAAACAACATTTGCCCGGGCACTATATCCAAATTCTTTTCCAAATTTGAATTACAAATCAAATACAGAAAATAAACACTATGATAAAAATAAGAAAAATTAAAAAGAGAAGTAAAATGAGTGAGTGTGCCAGCACCTTTTCGACACCGCCATCTTTGCCGAGTTTTAATTATTTTTTGGCATTAACAAATGCCCTGAAAATTTACAGATATGTTTCTTAGATAACCAATAACTCATTAAATGTTTTTCAAAAAATAATAAATTTGTTTAGGCCCCGAAATAAAGTGAAAACAAAAAGTTAAAAGTGAAACAAAAACAAAATATTGAGTGGGCGAGCACGTTTTGACACCCCCATCTTTGACGATTTTTAATGTTTGTTCGGCTTAGCAGAATGGCTTCAAAATTTATAGGCGTGTAGGTTACATCATACAAAACTCCCAAAAAAAACTTCAGAAAAAAAAAACTTATTTTTAGGCCATGAAAGTTTTTTTGGAGGGGGCCAAACCTGGAGGTGTTCGGTCGCCGAACGGGACCCTGAACGCCCGAACGTTTGGGCAGGTAGCCCTGTATATATATATATATGTATACATATATATATATGTATATATATATATATATATATATATATATATATGTATCCTCACAAACAGAACTGCCCGGTGAACCGTAGGCAGAGAGAGAGAAGAGGACAATAAACGAGGGGCTGTGACAAACTGTTTCGTGAGAGTTTCACTAACTCATATATATATATATATATATATATATATATATATATATATATATATATATATATATATACACAGGGTACCTAGCGTTCGGGATGGGCCGAACGCCCGAGCGTATGGGATTCCTTGGGGATGCGTTCAGCCATTCGGGTCGAACGTGGACCCAAAAAAAAAAAAAAAAAAAAAAAAAAAAAAAAAAAAAAAAACGTCATAAAAAAACTCTGAACAAAAGATATGTTATGGAGAAAAATAAATTAAACAAGACTTGCCTGAGCATTACATCCGAATTCCTTACCAAATTTGAAATCAAAATAAAATATGGAAAATAAATACTAATAATAAAAATAAATAAAAATAAAAAGAGAATTAAATTTAGTGAGTGCGCGAGCATGTTTTCGACACTGCCATATTTGGCGATTTTTCATTTTTTTTTTGGCATAGCTAAATGCTCTGCAAATTTACAGATGTGTACGTCACATAATACAAAATACACTAAGAAAGTTTCAAAAACTAATAAAATTGTTTAGACCCCGAACTAAAGTGAAAACAAAAAGTAAGAAACGAAAAAATACGTGGGCGAGCACGTTTTGACACCGCCATCTTTGGTGATTGTTTATTCTTATTTGGCTTAGCCACATGACTTAAAAATTTACAGACATGTACTTCACTTCATAGAGAACTCACAAATAAAAATTCAAAAAAAAAAAATTATGTTTAGATCCCGAAATATTTTTTGGCGGGGGCCAAACGCCGTCGGGTTCGGACCTCGTACGGGACCCCGAACGCCCATACGTACGGACGTCTGCCCGGGGACCTCCGTACGTACGGGCTGGTGACCCTGTATATATATATATATATATGAGGCTCTAGAGCATAAAACGGTCTACATGCTTTTGTTTTTTTTTTTTTTTTTTTTTTTTTGAGGGGGGGTTGTCGGCAATTCATACGGACACGTACGAGCTACCGTTCAACCGTCCGTGCGATCGTACGAGAGGACCCCTGTACGTCGTACGCTGCGTTTCACAGCCATCATCTGCTGATTCCAAGACTGACGCGTGCCATGTTCTTTATGTTGAGCCTTGGGAGGAGACCGAGAAGGTTAACTTCCACTACCACCTTGAACATTGGGCTGAGATGAAACAACAACATGCTAAAGGGACAACCGAATTGATCTTCTTCAAACTTTTCGTTAACCACCGCTACCTTTGTGTCTCGGTTGATTGTGGCAACTGGTAACTTCATGTCTCCAGACGGGGTATGCAAGGTGGGCTTTGGAATGAAGCAAGTGGATTTGCCGACCCCTTGCCATACCCAAGTAGGCAATAAATAAGTTCTCCCCTCTATGCATGCAGTGAAAGGTGTGCGCACTACCTTTGGCAAAGATAAGACTGTGACACATGCACTCAACTTTTATATATTGGAAAAATGCCCTCTCGACGCAGTCCTTGGGTTGGGCTGGCCACGGTCCCAATAAAAATGGACTAAGTGGAAGATTGATATCTTTGTGGTGCATGATGTTTTGAAAAATGAACGCGCAGTATTATTAGCAAAGAAGAGCGAATCCCAAGTGACTTATCTCAATGCAATACAGTTATGCAAGGTATGTTACCGCGAGTTCATTGAACGCGCGTTCCACGTTCAGTTTATGAACGCTATGAACGCGAGTTTACTGAACGCCCCTGAACACGATTGACGCGTTTGCGCAGGGGGCTGTTGGGGATGGGGGGGTGCCTCTGATGCCACGGGAGCGTCGGCGGTGTTTAGGGGAGCCTGTGGGGAGGTCGTAGTCCCGGAAAAAAAAAAAAAAAAAAAAGGGGCCCACATTTCGTCGCGGGGCGATATATAGTGGGGGCAGCGTTCGCACGCGACACAGTTGTGCAGTGCGCGTCAAGCGTTCCCCATGTTCACTTGGAGAAGTGTTGCACATGCACTGCGAACGAGTGAACGCACGCACGCGCGCGCGCGCGCGCGCG